TACAAGGTTCCTTCCTACTTCCTAGATTTTAAGTTAGGATGAGTCTCCATTGAATAAATGGTTCTAAGTTTACAAAAATTCTGATAATAATTTATTATTATTATTATTATTATTATTAATTATTCTGTCCTGAGGAACAAACCCAGGGCTGTAGGTATGGTAGCAGGTACTCTTAACACTGAGCTATAGCTCCAACCATCAACCTTATTTATTTAAAGGGTCTTTAGAAAAATGGGCATTATTTTTTAAAGGACATTAAGTAGAAAGAAATTTTAAGGCATTCTGACTGCCTGTGAAGTTTTTGCTCATTGGTCCTCCTAGTTTATAATTATTTCCTGTCTTCTAAACCCTCAGATCTGAAGAAGGGAACAGACACATTTACTACTGATCTGAATTAGGAGAAAAGACAAGAAGAAGATCACGTCATTCCAACTTTGCTAATGGAAACTTCATTTTGAGAACATGGTGAATCAGGTAAAAAGAGTACTTCTCCTTCCTCTTTTAGTGTATTTTTAAATGTCAACTTGACTGAACACGAAGAATGATGTTCAGAATTGGGTTGCTACCTTTCCCATATATAGTGTAATATATTATGACATTATTTCATTACAACTATTTTATTACATATTCTAGAGATAGAAAACAATGTATATACGTACAATATGTAAGTATAAAAATTGCTTGTTTGGGGCTGAGGAGGCGGCTCATTGGGTAAAGTGCTTGCTGTGAGAACATGAGGACCTGAGATTGGATTCCCCCAAACCCATATAAAACTGGTTACAGGGCTGGAGAGATGACTCAGTGGTAAATAGCACCTAGAACTCCTGTGGAGGACCCTCATTTGGTCCCCAGCATCCACATCAGGTGACTCACACCTGCCCGTAATTTCAGCTTCAAAAGATCTGATGCCTCTGGCTTCAGCAGGCACCTGTGCTCATGTGTACATACCACCTATCCCGCATATACACATGATCAATAATCAACTTAAAAAATTAAAAATAAACTTTCCAGGTGTGGTGGTGCATGCCTTTAATCCCAGCACTCGGGAGGCAGAGGCAGAGGCAGGCGCATCTCTCTGAGTTTAAGGCCAGCCTGGTCTACATAGTGAGTTCCAGGACAGCTGGGTCTACAGGGAGACCCTGTCTCAAAAAGACCAAAAAATAAAAATAAACTAATCACGGTAGCGCATCTATAAGCCTAGGACTCCTCTGATAAGATGGAGGCTGAGGCAGGAGAATTTTTATAAGCTCACGGGCAGCTAGTCCGGCATATGCAGAGGTGAACAAGAAAGTAGATGGCAAAGACGTACACCCAAGGTTGTTCCTCTGACCTCCGCACATGTGCCTGGGAATGTGCACATCCATACACATCCCATTCATATGTGTACAACTGGACACACAATATAAAATATGCTTATCTTAAGAAATCATAATGTTTTATTGACTGATTGATTTAACAATCTTGGGGATCAAACACAGGTCCATGCACATGTTATACCCCCAGTCTCAATACACCAATGCTAAGAGTATTTCTCATCAATGAATGTTGTCAGTATGCAAGATTCTCAAATGTTGCGCTTTTAGGCATCTTGAGGTTTGCTAATGAGGAGGTAGAGTTGGTTACTTTAATGAAGACCCTTTATACCTTATTGCTTCAATGAATTGACTAAACCTATATTAAGGTTTAGTGAACCAGCCCTTTTGATAAACTAGAGACACAGGAACGAAGACACGAACGCTGCCTTTAAAGAACTCTCAAGTAGAGATAGGAAGAGGAATCTCCAATTAAAACACAGAGTGCTACATGCTATAGTACAAAGGCATAGTACAAGGCATAGTACAAAGGCAAGTGCCTGCAGGTGCCTGTTGCCGTACCAGACATTAGGGATAGAATTATGAATGAAATACATGCTTTTAAAATATTTTATTATTTTTATGTGTATGCATGTATTGCCTGCATGTAGGTAAGTGCACCCATGTTGTGCAATGCTCGCAGAGGTCAGAAGAGGCTTTTGGATCCCCTGAAACTGAAGTTAAGGACAGTTATTATCTGCCATGTGGGTGCTGGGATTCAAACCCGGGTCTTCTGCAAGAACAGTGTTCCTAACCGCTGAGCCATCCCTCCAGCCCTGAAATACATGCTTTTTTCTTTTTCTTTTTTTCCTGTGGATTCACTGCCAAGTTCAGGGCACAAGACTATTAACAAGCAAAGTGAACCACACACTCTAATGGGAGGCTGTGGTTCTGACCCTGTGGCTCCTAGTCAGATCAAAGAGTACAGGAAAGTGACTGAGGACGGTGTCATGTGCTCAGTACCAGCACATGTCAAGATGCAGAGAATGAATGCTTATGGAATCTTAGGCTCAAGCTCCTGCTCCCTTTCCTAAGACCCTCTATAGCATGTTTGAGCATCTGCATCTTATCAGATGGCTTGCTGTCACAAGAGTAGTTGTTATTTCTTAAAACTGACTAAACAGCTCCTTGATTTCATACCTAATATCAAATCTTTCCATTATGTGCTAACAAGTATGATGCTGGGCTCACACAGGCCATGGTGGGAGACAAACCTGCTTTCCAGCAATGTCCTTGCCTCAGGCTCATCATAGTCCTCTCTATTACCAAGTCCTGGTAGGTCTGGTCATACCGGCCTTTTTAACGCTACTTTAGCTTGCTAGGCTGTTACCTACTCCTGGCCCTTTACATATACTGTTCCCAGAAATGCTGCTCCCTTTTCACACCTTCACGTGTCATCTCATTCTTCAGATCTCTTGCAAAGATTTTTCTACATGGAAGCACTTTACATCAGTTTTCTACCATGAGTCATGCTATATTCTTACTGTAATATGTACACATATTATAGCAAAAGATTCTGTACTGACTTGTATGATTATAGAATTTTGTTTCCTCCATTAAACTATAAGTTCCATAGGTGGGGATGATGTCTACTTTCCATTATTTTTTCAAGCTTCAGCCAGTATTTGTTGAATGAGTTACTGAATGAATAAATGAAGAAAGTAATGACACATGCCTTATTTTTACTGTAAGTTTAAGTATGGCTCCATCAGAATCTTGGGAGAATTTGTATACTATCTTGAGCTCATTTGTTTTGGATTCATCTTGGGGCTTTTCTCTTGCATGCTCAGGCAGCTATAGCTTTTCTTAGGAATTCATGGTTGCATTGATTTTGCTTACTCTGGTGGCTTCTGCTTTGAATGTCTTATCTGATACAGTTGTCATCATCTCAAGGTCCTTCCAACAGGGAACCAACCACGTGTTGAATACCTAATCTGGTTGGAGCTGTGGCCATTCTTTTGCCAAGAATAGTTGACAAATGCTTTAAGAGTTCTGAGCATGGTTGCCTGACACACTGGAAGCCCTGGACATGAATGGGCCCTCAGCAGAAAGGTTCAGCATACCCTGGGAAGAATGTGTGTGTGTGTGTGTGTGTGTTGGGTTTCAGATACAAATCCTATTTTCATTGACTTCAGGAAAAGAAAGGTTATTGCTGAAATGAAGGAGGCTCATTTGTGGAGAAAAAATCAAAGACGTATTTGGGACAAGGATCAGGGGACCTATCTAAAGACAAGTAATCTTTGAGCTGATGACATTGATGACCAGAGTTGAAACACTTAGATTGGAGATAGGGGATATGAGCCAAGTGTAGGGCTAAGGAATTGGCATGTGCAAAGACTGGTAGAGAGAGAGAGAGATTTGGTGAAAGTACTCAGTCAAGTCTCTGCACAGATGTACTCATGTTTCTTGGAACATCCTTTTCCTGAACTGTGAAAAAATAGCCATCCCCTTGACCCTACAATTTGAATTGTCTAGGTAATTGCTTCAATTCTGTAGCAGAGGAAAAACCATTCTAAGTGACTATTTAGAATGTGCTGCGAATCATCTATCTTAAATATTAGTAGATAGGCAACAACGATATAATGTGAAGTGTATGACTTTCCAGATTTTCATCAAGGTGTGCGTGCATGCATGTGTGTGTGTGTGTGTGTGTGTGTGTGTGTGTGTGTGTGTGCATGCACGCACGCAGTGTAGGTGTCTCAGTCTCATTTGTTCATCTTGCCCAGGTAGAAATGATGATCAGTATATCTGTTAGCATTGAGAGCTGTAAGGCTCTACAGAGCTGCTGCAGCCTGGGAGGGCCTGGCTAAGGAAGGGCAGGAGAACATGCTAGAGGCAGCTAAGATTCCGAAGCTAACACCCAAGATGTGGCTTGCCTTCCCATTTACTAACGTGCAAATCATATCACCTTGCTGAGCTGCGGTTTTCTACTTTTTAACCTTTGGGGTGATGGTAAAATCTCTAGCCAAGCCCAATGATGCAGATTTATATTCCCAGCCACTCAGGAAGCTGAGGCAGGAGGATCAGGAGTTTGAGGCCAGCTTATGTCTGGCAAACCAGGTCTATGGAGAAAGATTCTGTCTAAAAGGGCTTATAAAAAATTTAAAAAAACCCAAACAAATAATTACTCTCAGACTATAGCAATATAATAATGTACTGAGGTCCATTTGTCATAAAAATGATTTTTTAGAAGCTCAAATAAGATTTGTGTTGAAAAGACAAGGATTAGTTTTTCTGAGGCAACACCAGTCTAGTAATTAACCCAAACTGGGTCATTGCTGACTGACAGAGATCTGAAATGTAGATTTGGAATACTGACTTACCATAAACCAAAAATTTTTGAGATTTAGACAGTCTTTGAGTTTCTTTTGTCCTTCTAGTTCTTAGTTTCTTTTTTTCCTTCTTGCTATCTTATTCTTTGGGACGTGTTTTTTCTTCTTCTTCTTAATCTTTCTAATCTTCTCTCAGAATGAAAAGAAACCAAATATGTAAGAATTACATATGAAGATCCCAATGGCCTAAGTAATACTCTAACTACAATGGACTGATTCATTGACTGCCCCATTGAAATTTCTCCCAGATGTCAAGTGTAGAAAGCTGAACAATGTTTTCATGCTATGAGAAGCTTGGAGACCAAAGTTTTGGATCTTGAAAAAGACAAATCTTATTTTGAGTTGGAAGAAGCATAATCCACTAATAACCATTGCTTAGAAAGAGCTACATTCAGCCAGGAGTAGAGACTGTGGATGTTGACTCAGCTAATTGGGGAGATAAAGGTCACAATGTGGTCAGCTGGTGTCTTGCTGGGCAGTCATCTTATGATACCTGGTCCCTTCATTGGTCTGAGTGCTGACTCATGTACTCTGGTCCATACCCACCCACAGAAGCCTTAGTGACCAGGTGCCTCTTCCATATCAGAATTCTGCTCTCTGTACTGCCTGGGAAATTTATTTCCCTATCTTTAATGGCATGATGCTTAGTTTTAAATGCTAGCTTGCCACAATTTGGAATCACCTGAGAAGGGAGCCTGAGTTGAAGGATTATCTAGGACAGGTTGGCCTATGGACATGTCTGTGAGGGACTGTTTTGATTGTTGATTGCTGTAGGAAGACTCAGTCTATG